TCCATAGATGGTAAAACATGTTGTGTGGGGGGGGGTTGGGTTGGGTGTTTGGAGTGGCCAAGTTGGGGCGCGCTACAGGCCGCAGTGGGCATGATGAGGAAACATGAGGTCTGGATGGGGAGGGACTTCTCATTTAGAAGAGGGTGTTTTCAATTTTTTGTCTTTTATGTTAACTGTGTTATGGCTGCATTCGGCATTCCTAATGCTTCCCGTGTGTGCCCCTGACTCAAAACATTTGGGGAACAGCAGCCACGGTTTCCAGCAAGTGCAGTTGGGGGGCCAGAGGGGAAGATGATGAAGATGATGATGATGATTTATGAAATTTCTAGGCCACAGAACCATCCAAGTCATGGCAGTTTACAACCACCTCAGTTACCATAAAACAGCCATGCTCAAAACAGTTAACTGACCTCCTCTATGACACCATAACAGAAGATAAACTTAGAGCAGATCAGAACCCCAAAGATCAAGTACAAGGCAAGATCAAAAGCATAAAAGACCAGCTGAAAGAGTCGTATCTTAAAGCCCCTTCCAAAACCTCTAGAAGGCCATTTCCAAATGTGGCGTTACAGACGGTCATCCTTCAGGGTTGTCTTCAGGTTAGGAAACAGACATCACAAGAATCACAAGAAATGCTACTTTCTTGTTGTAGGATATAATAACAGAATTTTAAAAGCCTATCCGAGTTTCCCTCTGCCCCCTCTTATACCAAACAGAATGCGGGAGGGGGTGTTTTGAGTCTCTTTGTCCACATTCCCTCCTATATTCTCATTTCCATTTTCCTTTATTACCCCTTAACGATTCTGTGAATGGTTCTTACATTCCTTTATAAGAGGATACGGGATGAGTGTTATGTTACATCACATCACATTATATTATGTTTCATTTTTCCCATGATGCCCCTTCTCAACTTGTTCATCTCCAAGGTGCCACAGGACAATTGCATTGGTTTCCTTTCTTTCAATTTTCCGATGGTATCTCAGAGGTGCCATGTCATATATCATCCAGCTGAAATCCCTGTATGATGACACACCAGTTCTCCCACGCAAAGTCCTTGCTGGCTTGGCGCCATCCTGGAGGCTGTTCTCGGAGGGAGCGTTAATAGGGTGGCCGTAAGGAGATTTTTTTTTCTTTAAGATTTGGTTTCATGGTGGGGGAAAAACACAGCTCCATTCAAATAGGACCTAATAACTGTTCAAGTGCCACATAAAATAACAGCACACCAGAGTGGAAAGGAGGAAGTGTATAAAAGTGGGAACTGCTGAAGATGACAAGCTGAAACCATATAAAGAATTCACATAATAAAGAACATGTGGCTGTGATTGTTACAAGACCTTAGCATCCTTTGCTTCTCTAAAGGAACCTCCATACAATGGTAGGCAAGCTATCTCAGTTTAAGCTGTAAGTGGTGGAAAGCACACCAGGTCAAGTTTGCCCTCTCCTCCCCAAAGAAAGCAATGAGATGGAATCCTGTGGGGATCTTAGAGCATAAATGCCACACAAGCCCACCTTGAAATCTCCCCAGCATCTTTCTGGAAAGGGATCCATTGCAAATATGGACATCTGCTCAGCTAGGAAGTCCCTCACATATGTAGAAATGGGAATTTCGGGGCAGCCTGTTTGCTTTTGTGGTGAAAGACATTCAATAGCCTGAGAAGCAGAGGGAAGGCAAAGTGATAGAAATTAAGCTGTTGTCCACGTCCAGGATACAAGCTTGGACAATGATGCTGAGGATTGCCAGATTCATAGACCTTTTCATCTTTGGATGTGACAACCACAGTTTCCCCGGATCTGTTGTACAGAGCTGGAAACCAATAGCCATTGGAACTTTTCCATCAGTGTCATGGCCCAGACTGAATTACTTTGAATTTCTGCAGAAGAAAAAGGAATTCTCCAAACATTTCTCAAGGACAGGATTCCTTCTGCTACTGAAAAACGTCTTGTGGGAAGTGTTCCTTTTAGGAAGCCAGAGCCTGCAAGCCTTAAGAGAAATGATTGACATTCCTCTTGACAAATAAGACATTCACCCCTACACACTTTGGCCATCTTGCCTCTCAGCAACACCAAGAATTCCACTTTCCATCCAAGGGAATTTATCCATAATGCTCTTTCCTTTGGACATCAATTTCTAAAGCAAATTCTCTTTCTTCAGATTGAAGGAGGATAGGTTGGGAAATTCCATGTTTGACTTCTACACAACTTCTTTTTTGCAGGCGTGAAGGAGACAGGTGCTCCATTCTCCTTTCAGCCTGCTCCCTCTGCCAGATTTCTTTTGCATGCACATATGGGCACCCCTATTCTGATATGCTGGAAGAAGCTCTTTTGAAGACTTGTGGTAACAGTTGATTTCATGGAAAATCTCAGCATGGGGCAGGCAGGGTTTTGAAGACAATAGAAAGCTGGGTCGTTCTTGAAGTCTTTGCAGTTACCCAGGCCTGTCTGCATATTAAACGCTTGCTCGAATCACTAAAGCAACAATCTGGATTCCAGGGAAGACCACACCAGCAAAGATGGGAAATCTGAATATATCCACTCTGCTTCTTTCTGAAGCTTTGGGTGTGGTCCAGATGGTAAACCAGTTATTTGGTGAAGAGTGGGGGACTCCAGTGGCCAATCCCAAATCTTGAGGAAGCACTCTTTCTCTGGCCTAGAGGGGAGCGCTCTGCTTTTCCTGGCCCCCGTCCCCCAGATTCTTAGGTTACCGGAATGAAGAACCCGAGGCCCTTTAAACTGAATTACAGTTCCCAGTATCCCTCCTGTGTGACCCAATTGCAGATTGTTTTTCAGCAGCATCCGGAGGGGCTGCGGGTTCCCCTGCTTGCTGTAAGGAAGTGAATTGGGAGGCCCAAAATATGAAGGCCATATTTAATTTCCAAAGAGGAGCCATACAACTCTGCCTGTGGTCTCTGTTCGCCATCCGCCAGGGACAATCTGAAAAAAGGCCTCCAAACCAAGTTGTGATAACTTCCTTTGAGTCAAGGGCCACGTTAGACCTTTGGGAAACAATAAGTACTGTAGATGCCTGCTTTAATTAAGTAAATCCGATACACCCGTATCTTCGAAAGCACCGTTGACATGGCTTCTCCGGCATCTTTTGTTCATTTCTGCCTTCCATCATATTAAAACGTATATTCTCAGCAACATTTGAAGAAGCTCTTGGGGGATACATTTGGCCCTGGGGCTCAAATTGCAAAGCTCTGATCCAGCCCATGTTGGAGAGCATGCCTGGCGCCAAGTTAATTTCTGCCCCGGACATACACAGAGAAGGGTTCAAAGTTATGCAGCAGAATTTCTGTGCTGTGAACCAGCAAGGTACAGATTCTGCAAAATGAGAAGTTCAGGCATTTCGCCATCTTTTCCCAACTGACAGCAAGTCCACTGCACATTTATTCTGAAGCAAGCCTTGTTCTGTTCAACAGGGTTTGCTGCCAGTAAGTGCACATAGGATGACTTCTGAGCAGATGTAGATAAGCTGTAATCTCAAATACTCTCCAGAGTGCTGATCTTAAAATCCCCTTCAATGTGTGCCCAGGAAATTGGAAAGTCTCCGGGCTTCACCCATCAGCTTGGCCAGTCTTTCACAATCCAAACCAGGCTTCAACCATTTCCCTCCTCAGTGGGAAGAGAGCAGCAGCATGATTTCTGCTCATTAAAAAGAGATGCTCCGTTTGCATATTGGGACAGTCCTGATAATTATAGTGAGTCCAGGACATAGCTGGATTTGTGTCTTTTTGGTTTGAAAATTTATGCTCCTGCAGAGCTTATATCTGGCACTCTAAACTCTCAAGTTTAGAAATATCCACCCGGATTGGTATATATTTCTATAAAAAGGAACCGTGTTTGCTCTGTATTTGGGGGAGGCGGAAGGGGGGGAAAAGGTATGCCCCCTTTGCTGAATTTTTAGTTCTGTACAAATTGCACAAGGTCCCCAATTTTGCATCATTTATGTTGGTTTCTGCCATTGTGGGCAGGGTATGCAGTCTCTCTAGATCAGTGTTTTTCAAACTTGGGAACTTTAAGAGGTGTGGGCTTCAGTTCCCAGAATTCCCCAGCCAGCATTGCCAAGTTTGAAAAATACTGATCTAGATTCTGGCCCTAAAGGCTAAGGAATTTTTTTAAAAACAAAAATGAGGAGATCTGGAATGTTGTGCCTTGAGGAATGATTTCTGAAGGGATACCAAGCATTGGTAAAATGCTGCTTGAAACTTCTCAGCTTTTGGAGAAGTGAGCAACCATAGGAATCCATGGAAAACTGAAATCATTCAGAAAGGCTTTTATATTTTATTAATGCAGCTTTCATAGTCCTCTGTGCATAGAAAGGAAAATCAACACACTGAAAGTAATGTTTCTAGTTGGAAAATCCGTGTTTGCAAAACCTTGGGATATTTTATAAACTTTTGTACTTCTGCAAAAATTATATTATTACAATGATATCCTGCTTTTTCCCTTGAGAGTACACAACAGTACACATGGGGGTCTTCTCTCCTTTTACCCTACAACCACCCTGTAAAGTTGGTTCAGCTGAGAGAGAGATTGGCTCAGAGTCATCAATTTATGGCTTCCCGATCAAATGGCAACTTGAACATGAGTGCAAAGTCAAACATCTTTCTCACAATACTACATTATAGTGGCTTGCAGGAATTTGCACTGCATTTAACCCACCACCAAGGACAGACTGGCAACATGGGGCCTGGGGTTGCCATATCCATCTTCCTCTAAAATCGCCTCTGAATCCCTCAGAATGATTTCTTTTTTCCCAAACCCCAAAAAACAGCTGAAATGTTATATAATCTCCATATTTTGCCCGACTTTGATAAGACTCATAAGAGATCAGCTGGTGTAAGCAGTAGGGATGTTTCTTTGATGAGAAAGCTCTGGCAATGCTTACTCAGGCCTTGCTCAGCTCCCGTTTGGTTCACCACAGTTTGCTTTAGGTGGGCAGAAGTGACTCTCTGTGCAAAATACACCCACTTGCTGATCGCTACAACCGATCAATATGGAGATATTGGGGCTTCAATCTCTTCAAGAGCAGGACATTCTACCCTCCAGATTTGTGTGGGATGAGATGTTCTAAAGAGCAGGAGCGGAGGTAGGCCTTCTCAGTTTGAAATAGTCCTGAAGTTAGAGCCACTCTTCGAATCATGTAGGGAGACGGTGAAGGCAGTGTGTGTTAGGAGCCTCTGGAGCCGAGGACAACACGACTGGTTGCTCAGGGTAGGGAGAAGTTGACTCGTCTTCAGTCAATGTTTTTGTTGGCAATGTTGTTTCGTTGGCTTTATTTCACTGTGCACGTAAAATAAACCAAATCATCCAGCCCAATTAGATGAGGGGGAACACCACTAAATGCTAAGAAAGCAAGAAAATATCAGCGTTCTTATATCATTCACAGGAGCTCTCAGGCAAGTTAGTGAAATTTTGCGAACTTTGAATCAACCCAGGCTATCATACAAGATCTCACTGCAACCTCGATATAGATCAACACTTGCTTGTTAGATGGAAGCTCGGGATGGCCCAAGGTACGTACCTGCTTGTCCGACCAGGCGGCCTGGCTTAGAACGAGAAGGGAATGTACGGTTACCTGCAAATTCTTTAAGTAACAACCACAAGAAGAGTTGAATCAGACGCTCTGCTCCGAGCATCTCTCCTCTCTCCCTGATAGCTTCACACTTAGTGCTCTTGGCAGCCGCCCTGTTTAGAAAATTATCTCAAACTGGGGACACAACGCAGACATTGCAGAGAGCTCTGTTTACATTCCTGCTGAGAGAGTTGCCACAAAAACTGCCAGAATGCACCGTACACTCGGATGGATGAGACGCTTGAGGTTCGCGGGTTTTTAAATATATTGCAGGGAGGTGGGGGGTTGGCTTTCTCCCCCTTCCCATTTTTTCTGGGGTTGCCTTTTTCCTACTGTTCGTCAGATGTGGTCAGATGCTGACGCCGGTGCTCAACATTTAGACCACAGTGTTGTTCTCCTGTGATCCGTGATGGAGAAAACTAACCCCTGTTGTGGTTTCTTAGGTCAGTGTTGGGCAACTGCAGGGATTATGTTTCTCATGTTTTAGATTTGAGAGATGAGAGATTTGGTGGCCGAGGAGACCAGACAAGATAAAGATCTGTTCCTTTTCTGCCTACGGGGGGACTATGAAGGATTTTTTGCATGAGAGAGTTGAATTTATTCCCCTCCTTTTCCTCCTCTTTATCACCTTGCTTGACTGCAAAGCACCCTCAAGAGCCTGAAAGCTAGACCACCATTTTTTGACATTCTGAGTCAACCTAATAAAGAGGGTGACGGTGGCTGTTGTAACATGAGGATTTGTTTCTGGCCCATTTGTGTTCAGCGGTCTGAAACAAATTATAGTCTTACCATCCTGCTCTTGTCCTATTAGCCCAAAGGTGGGTTTGAATTCTGGGATTTCTTGTCTTTCAGCCAGAGTTGGATGTGAGTATGATCCCCTCCAGATCTCTCAAAGAATCCGCTGGATTTTAAGCTGTGAAAATCAGAAGGAAAACAATCCTATTGATTATGGGGAGGGACACAGTCAAGCTTCCTATCACAGTTGCAGAATTGCTCCAGGCAAAGAATAGGGGCTGCTGCCAGCTTCCCCATTCTGCACGTTGCTTGTGGGTCGATCGGAAATCTCCCTGACTCTTAGAAGCGTACGGCTACTCAACTGCAACCAAGTCCGTAACCTTGTTCTAATTTCAGTTTGATTGCCTATTGAGAGCGTCTGATTATTCTTTAAGAGTCACTTTGGAACGGAGCCTGAAGGTACAATATAAAATAATTGAAGGGAGTGTAAAATCCCCAGCTGGCAGTCCTGTCAGTCAGCGGAGTGGAGGACTTGTCTCCATAAATTCAGAGAGCCACAGATGTGGAATGGAGTCCACCAACCCTGCTAATACACTCCTGTCCTCCCTGTTCCAACTTGTTCTCCTTCTGAACAAGCTCACTTTTGATCAAATCAGCGTATTGGTGGAATCCACTGACTCAAACAGCTACTTTGCCACTGGGATTTCATTTACTTCTCACATAATCACAGTGTGAATTTGAAGAAATACATTTCAGGAGATTAACTGGCTCATTATGCGAAACCATAGCCACCATGATGACAAACGGAGGAATGGATTTTCTTCCCGTCCCAACAGTCCTGCATTTATTATTTATTTATTTCGGGGGGCTGTTGAATTGGGTTTGATTTCTGACAGCTGCAAGGAAATGCTTTCCATCTTGGCTTATCTCTAATAATAACTTGGAGCTTTTCCAGGGAGAGTCTTGTACTCCTTAATCCCCCCTCAATCACCTTATCCATTATTTTTCCCTACTTTCCTCAACCTTGTCAAGCACGGTAGTTGTTCTAGCCCATCATTTGCTCATATCACACACTCCAAGTATGCGAGTTTTTACTGGTAGACCACAACCGCCAAGAGATATCACTCTTTATTTGGTCCAGGTCCAATTGATTGGTGGTTCTTGCAGTTCAGGGTAGTAACCACCTCCAGATCTGCAATTCAGAGATATCCTAATTCTTTCTCAATATTCAGTTCTCACCACCATATATTGCCACTGGGTAGATCTTTGCTTTAACTATCCTGATCTTTCCTAGAAATATCCTTATTTCTCATGAGACGTTAAGTTTATCATTGCCTTTCCCCTGGCCTTACTCTACTTCTCCAGCACATTGTCCGTCTTTATCTCTCCCATACCTTTCTCCGCTATCAATTGTGAAATTACTAGGCGTGCTGTTAGACATTCTCTTCTTCTTCTTAAATATTAACCCAGATTTTTCACTGTCCATTTTTGCTTTCATAATGAGCTCTTCTGAGTCATTGTTACTTTTAGCCCACAAAGCATCATCGTCCACATATCTCCAATTGCTTGCATTTTAGCCTCCAGTTTTGATTCCAGGAGTCATCTCTTGCAAAGTTGTCAGTTGTACAATGTAGTGCATTTTGTAATATATTCCCTGTAGAATTTAAACTTTTAAATTACACTCAGTTACATTGGCGATGAGTACACCTTTGGAAGACCTGAAGGACCAGGTTGGGGACAGATCGTCGTGGAGAAAATCTATGTGGTCGCTAATAATCGACACAGAATCAGTCGATCAATAAACAGATATGGGGATAATATGCATCCATGGCTTACCCCCTTTCCTATTCAGAACCACTCCAAATTCAGTTCTTACAATAACTTCTTGTTCATTTTCAGTGTTCCACAGAAGAAGAATCAGATGTGCCACACATAGAAATAGATCTGTTGACACAGAACTGTTAGCACTTTAACTGTCTCTTTCCCTGTAAACTTAAACAATTCAGTGCGTATTTCTTCTGTGTCTCATCCTTTCTTATTTGACAGCTGGCCTATTGCTTGTCATACTTCACTTTCTAATGGGATCTGTCCCTGAAGATATTCTCTGTCTGCAAATGTTTCTGTAATACCGCTCGTAAAGAGTTTCAGCCTGGTCTTTCCATTTGTATTTAACCTTCTTTCAGGTCTCTTTTTGTGATTACCCTTAAGAAGTCCTTCCTTAGCAGTAGATGTTCTGTTGATTTTTCTGATCATCTGAAAACATCTCTCATTATCCCTTTTGTTTTGTTTTTTGTCTAAGTCGGTGTTCTGTTGTCATACACCTTTCTTGCTACCCAATGTTTTCACCCTCTGTCTTTCTTTGATAAACTTGATAGTTTATTCTGAAACCCATTAGGTGCTTTCCTCTTTGAATTTTCCCCACTTTACAATGTCTTCTGGTCTTTTCCCCCTTAAGCTAAGCATATTGAATCCTGGTCAGTTCTTTGTGGGACACTTCATCTCATTTTTCTAAGCTTCATTTGTATCTTCAACTCTAGTAATTCAGGGCCTGTTCCTGAATACTCAGCTCTTAGGAGTTTCCTGTCTGGCTGGATTGCTTTTCCTCGTCTTCTCTTTCCTATTTGATACCAATATTTTGCTTCTGGTGATGATCGTGTATAAAGTCTGCCTTTACATCTCTTTTTAACCTATTTTCTGCATTCTTACCTTTATTCCAGCTCTCTCCATCTCTCCAGCTTCTGTATTCCAGTCCCTCTGTAGTGTGTCTTTGTTCTTTCATCTCCTGCATTCCTCAAGCAGTCTGTTTAAAGGCATACTTAAATATATATATAACCTTGATGTTCGCTTGGTCGTCTTCTGAACACGTATTTAGTGATGCCCTTTCTGAGTACCATCAACACTCCATGCCTTCATATGCCTTCCAAAAACATGCCATTTAGTATGCTTCATTTCCACTTTGACCATTTCAAGTTTTCCTCCGTTCGTTCTTCTCATATTCCAAGTCCTTGTAAAACAAAAAAGAAATCTTCTTTCAACACTGAAACCATCAGTAACTTTAGAGGGAGAGAGGGAGGGAGAGAGAGAGAGAAATTGATCCAAACATGTAAATAATAAAAGTTTTCTGCAATCCATGGGTCAAACAGTATGTTACTATGGTGTTTTTGGATGCCTCCTTATTTAGTAAAACGTTTTGTGGGTTGCTAAGATGCAGAACCGAAACACAGAAACAACTGGCCTGGTTGGGCTGGCAGAAACAAGGTCTGCAAATGCAAAATAGGAAGTAAGTGGGTGCGAGAAAGAATAAGAGAATTTTGCCACGAAATCGCCCCTCCACGAGAAGAAAGTTCTCCTCCTTTCCTGCCCCCCAGTTTAGTTTTTTGACTCTTTCCTTCTCTTCCCCTTCAAAAACCAAAACCACCAAACACATGTACAAATGCTCCCGTGAAAAAAGGAACATTCTGTTTTTACGCAGAGATCGAAGCGTTCACTGGCCACCCTCTGCTCTTCCAACCCAGGGCACAACATCAGCTGTGATTTGTACTTCTGAGTTTCCATGGAACGGGTTGGCCATTTTTTGCCTTCTCTTTGATGCCTCCCTCTATTCTATTCTATTCTATTCTATTCTATTCTATTCTATTCTATTCTATTCTATTCTATTCTATTCTATTCTATTCTATTCTATTCTATTCCTCTCTCGGTTCTTCCATCCCATTTACGGCAGGTTTCTGCAGCCTGGGGAGGTCCAAGTGACTAATCCAAGAGGGCTGAGAAGAAAGACATCCAATATCTGTACCAAGCTATATCAAGGCCTATGGGAGCTAAAATTACTTGGCTGAACTGTCCTACCTCCCTCCCTCTCTTCCTACCTATCTCCCTTTAATTAAAAAGAATTGGCAGCTACTTTTTTTCTCCTTCTAAGCGACTGTGGATATAGAAAGAATTGTCAAATAAGCAGGGGAAAGGCAGAAGAGAAATTGCAACTGGAAGAATACCATAGAGAGAGGCAAAGTTGTCTCTTGGCTTTCAGAGCGGCCCTTTTGGTCAAAGTCAGACCCACCCCAGTCGTTTCCTGTGTCCCGCTGACCCAAAGATGGGCAACATCAAGGAATCTCGTTCCAATTTCATTTTAACACCACCTCAGCTGGCCAGCTCCAGCACGACAGTCGAAGCCACAGAGGATACAGCTCTGAAGTCTTCTTCAGGCCAAACTCTGCTCCTGGGGATCTGCATGGTCTGTGCCATGTTCCCGGCAGCCTTGGTTTTTCATTGTCTGCTTCAAGGACGCCTTTCCCAGCCTACAGCCCTGGACAAGCAGAGAGTTTCCACATGAACCCCTTCAACCTTCTTCCATTGATCCATGATGGTTTTAGGAAGTTCTCAGCTGGGAGCCCTCCTCCCAAGCAGCGGCCACCTTGGATTCTTCCTTGCTTTGCTGGTCTCCCACCAGCTCCGCCGCCTTTTGCGGACCCCCTTTGAGGCAACGGCTGCTAGACATTCCCATTGATGCTGTTAAAACCATCTCCCCCATGATAGCCCCAGCTGGTACTTCTTGGAACTCTGCCCTGGGATGTCTGCCATGTATTCTTTGTGCCACTGCCATTTGCGATTCCTTCCACAAACCATTTCCATTAGTGCCTATTGTTATTCCTTGCTATTGTTAATTCCAGCTTGTTGGCTGCTTTTCTCCTCTGCCGGCTTGCTTCTTCCTCCCCTCCCCTCCCCTCCCCTCCCCTCCCCTTGAACTGTCTTCTGCAAAGGTGCACTTCCTTTGCTACTTCGCAATGTTCCTCTCACAAAGATCTCTTTGCCGTCGGGCTCAGACTGGGGGCCCTGCAGCCCCAGGGGAGCCCGCATTCAGCAGACACCTATCTTTAAAACAAAGGCAAAGAGCAAAGACCTTGCTCTTCCTTGTCACACTTTTCAGGAGAAACGAAAGAGGGAGGGAAAGGTGCTAACGCAAGGTAGTGGAGGGGGGGGAAAAAAAGAAATCAAGATCAACAGAGAGAGGTGGGAGACTGTGGAAGAGAGCAAGCCTTAAGAGATGGGAATTGGCAGGAAGAGAAACAGAGTATATAGGTTAAGACTCCCAAGGTATATGGATCATGACCTTCTCAATCTGGTAGCACCCCAGTTTCTGAATTAATTTGCATGCTGTGCTAAGCGTTTGCACATGGCACCCAACACACCCGTTGCCCAAGCTTGCTTCCCTTTGTTCCTTCATAATTGCTGTGCATCGAGTGCCTGACAGCTGGAGGTAGCCAGAGAAGCAAGCTTTTCTGCTGCTTTCTAAGACAGAGGGACCCCTCCAGAGTCTGGAGCCTGGAAAAGCCCTCTGCTCCCTCCTGGCCCATCCGTTTCCAGCTGAAGCCCCAGAGAGAGTTTCTAGCGCCAGCGAGGGATGAGCATTAACAATGTCTTAAGGGTGGTGAAATAGAGTAAAAGACACGGTGAAAACATCTGGAGGAGGGGGAGGGGGAGGAGATGATGTTTGCAAGGGTGAAAGGAGGCTGAAGAGAAGAACACCAGTAACTCCCTAGTGAGTCATGAAGTACAAGTTCCGTTAAAGAAGGAAAGCTCAAAGAAAGAGCAGCTGTTCTTTAAAAGAGTTTTTGGAAATTCCACCACCTGCTCTCCTTCTTTTCGGCCATGCAAAAGGCCTTCTCTTTGCCGCTTTGGTGGGGTGGTGATGGCTTGGCCTCATGGTCCTGGGAAAAAGGAAAACTGGAAGAGCTTCCAAAATGTGAATCAGTCTTCTAGGGGCATAGGATGCATCCTTTTCTTTTACTACTTTTACAGCCTCCAGACAGCTGCCTGTTAAAAAATGGGTTGGACCTGCTGTCTTTGTCAACCCCTGATTATTTAATCCAGGTTCATTGTGGATTGAAACTACTACTTCCATGGGGAAAGAAGGTGTCCAGCCACTATTCTTTCCTTAAAAAGTTAGAAAATGCTGGGACGTAGTGCTCTTGCAAGACCGCCATGGTTTTTCATAATCAGAGATTGGAGAATTGGGCCCTCAAAACTAAATGCAAATGTGTGGCTCTGTTCCCACGTGATGCAAAGCGGTGGTGTCTTTCATCATGGTTTCCTGATGGCTTGGTTTGCGCGGCATACTAAGCCAGAGCCCCAAAAAGCCGTGTTAGGTTTAGCATGGCATGGGGGCCCAGCCTCTGTGTACACGTTTTCCTCTGCAGATGGGTGAGAAAATTGGATGGAAAAGATGCACGGCAAAACAGTCAATTCATACATCCCCTTAAGATGTTTCTCCACCCCTTGGACTCTGGATGGCTCTCACCTGGCATCTGAAGCAGGTGGCTCTTTTTAAGCTCTCTGGCTTCCAAGCCTGAAAGCTTTGCCTGGGGAGGCAAAAGGAGGTGGGATACCCCTGGAATTACAAACTCAGTTGGTGGCCAGTAACCTGGCCCCAGCTACTCCCAAATTCCCAGATTCCTTTCAAAGGCAGCCCTGAACATAAAGTAACAATTCTTATTCTTGTGAAAGGCCGTGCCATGCTTAATGGAACTAAGGAAAGTGGTAGGGAGGGACGATGGTCCATGTTTAGCATTTCCAATAGGAATTTGTGACAGTTTTATGATTAACCCAGTGTTTCTCAAACTTGTCAAGGCTGGCTGGGGAATTCTGGGAGTTGAAGTCCACCCGTCTTAAAGTTGACAAGTTTGAGAAACACTGGGTTAACCAGTTAGTGAAAGAATGAAGTTGGCTTGTTTTCCTCCAAGGTGCCCGAGTGAGAGCTGGCAGACAGAAGGGGAACCACTCAGGCCCTTGGCTTTTCTGCCTTAATCCCATTTCTGGCTCTGTTAGGACCCTAACGCCAATTTGCAGTGGATATTATTGGATGGCTCGTCGTTGAAAGCAAGGCTGGAGGTCTTTCCTTTCACAGCCCCCTTGATGCTGGAGAAGGACGGGGCGTGGCAGCTTGGCATGCCATCCTAGGGCAATGCTGGGTTGCTTTTCCGGTGAGAACAGGGAGCCCTTCCTTCTCCCCTGCTTGGAGACCATACGCTGCTCTTCACTTCCAACCGATTGCATCTTTTCTATCTGGAGAGAAATGTATTGTGTGAACCCAACGCAGCCTGTCCCTCTGGCACCCCTTACCAGCTCCGGAAGTCGGTGCTTTTTTTTTCTCCCCCACCCCCCCACTTTCCCCTTCCAACCATGAGCGATCTTCGTGCTTTGGCAGGCCCCGAAATGCCAACAGATGCACTGGATGGCGAGAGACAGGTGGTACCGGTGCGTCAGGGACTTCCTCCAGAAACATGGCGCGAGCAGAGGCATGTGGGCTGCCCCAGCTTTCTGACATCTCTCCATCTTCTTGGAAGATGATTCTCCCTGCTCTTTTCCACAGGTGGTGGCTTTCAGAGGAGCAAAATAGATCGGTCTGTTTGCCTGGTGTTTCCAAGCCTCTTCCAACCCAACAGATTGAGGTTTTGTTTTCTGTTTTTCCTCCCTCTTTTACGACCGAGGCAACACGGTTTGTATTTGAACGCATCCCCTTTTTCAGAACAGGTCCTGTCGGGGGGGACACGATCCGGGAATGCTGAACGTTGGCCACACAGGTTACAGTTCGGGCTCCAGATTGGGCAGTTCAGAGCCTCCGGTTGAGAGACTGGCTGCATTGACCCTGGATACGGAATTAACCCATTTTCAGATTTTGCACCACCCGTCGAACCAGGCACTAGCCCGACAAACTGGGTTTGCGCAGCCCTCGAAGCCAGAAAAAAATCTGTCCAGGTTAAGAGGTTTGCCACTGACTTGACTGCAGGAACCCCTCTCTGTTGTCCAGAGGAAGAGTATAGAGCAGTGTTTCTCAACCTTGGCAACTTTGGCTGGCTGGAGAATTCTGGGAGTTGTAGTCCAGACAACATAAAGTTGCCAAGGTTGAGAAACACTGGTATAGAGCGTTGTAGCTCAGCCATCTCTCTGCAGCAGGAGGTTCCCCATGTCTGTTCAAGGTGGGCGGGCTTTGCGATTCCTATAGGGCTGAGCTAGGCTGCAAGTTGGCATATCAGGGCACCCTCCACTCTCCCTCCCTATTGCCCTGAGACTTGGAGGAATAGGAAAGGGAAGGCTTTGCCCTTCATTTTGATCAAGAGCCTGGCCTGGCCCATGCAGCCAACTCCTGGCAATCCCCACCATGCCAGGGGATCTCTGAAGCTATCATCATCATCATCATCTCCTCCTCCTCCTCCTCCTCTCCCAAGCCTTTGCTCACCCTCCTCCTCCACCACCGTCCCTGGAAGGGGCTGCTTCTGCCCCAGCTGCTCCCGGCTCTGCTTTGCAAAGCCCACCAGCTCTTGTGGCCTTGAAAGGTTCCAGGAACTGTAATTAACAGCAGAAGATCGTCTCCTGGAGCTTTCTGAGCAGTAAAGAGCACTCTGCCCCCCTTTCTTTCCCCAAAGCTCTCCATTCTTTTTCCCATAAAGATTTTTAATCGGTTGCTAAGGCAGAGGCTGGGCTGAAAAACACGGTGTTCTTTCTCTTTGGCTCTCACTTATTGTGTTTATGAGTAGGTGGGGTGGAAAGAGCTTGTTTTCCACACAAATAGGTAACAGGAGAGGGCTGAAAGGGAAATGAGGAGGTGGGGAAGAGAGAGGAGCCCCCTGCAACACGGGGGGGGGGAGTGGTCCTCAAGTTGTAAGAACATCCCGGAACTTAAATGGCAGCTCCAGGAACGCTCGGACAGGGGACAGCTGAGGTGTGGCAGCCAGACGAGGGAAAGAAGAAAGGATCTGCGGCAGTAGGAAGGACAACCAATTACTAACAGGGCTTCTTTCGAAGGTCAGAGCCGTGCGGCGGTGAGGAAGAACAAGACACGTCGTCGGCGAGGTCCTTTTCTCTAATCGAACAAGGCCAGCCCAAGCCAACACAAGCTGTCTCCCCCCCCCCGCCATCCGCCCGAGTCCTCTCGCTTCTCTGCCAACGACGTCATTACCTTGACATCCGTGTGTGTTCCCAACAGCTCGACAAGCTGACGTTTGGCACGGCGTGTTTTCGCCATGTATTAGACACATTGCGCTGCGGAGGAAAACAAAAGCAGCTGAGGCGTGTGGGAGGAAAATGAATCACTGGGGGGGGGAGTGGGTGCATGTTTGTGTGTGTGTGAGTGTGTGTGTCAGGAGGCTCACTTGAGAACGGAGGAGAGCGTTGCTTTTCAAAAGATAAGATTATCCAGGAGCTAGGAACAAGATCACACTGCTTCGCAAGGTGGCTTTGTTTGGGTCATGTGGAAAGTGAGCCTTCTTTATTCTCGTCCCCTTAATTGTAGGAATTTCTTTTTCTCCCAGCTTGGTCAGAAAAGAGAAGCTGCCTTTTACCCCTAAGCAAAGCAGTTTTCTGCCCTCTTCTGTTGAAGAGTTGGGTGGGGGTTATCTTGGGTTTGAGCTGCTCTCTCCCCTCCCCTTAAAAAAGTAAGAACTCAAATAGTTTTCTTGGAATTTGGAGAGGAAGTTGAAGGCGTTTGTGCCAAGTTGCTGTGGGACAAGCCTGCAATAACCCCCACCCCCTTGATCAATCGCAAACCATTGAGGTTATTCCCAAACCACACTCGGTCTGTCTTTTTCGGTAGGAGGTGGCCATAATTTCCAGCAAAGTCATACACTTTGATACTGACCATTTTTGTGAGACTCCTGAGAATACTGTGGACAGCCACGAAAACAAACTGATGGATCATTGAACAAATCAACCCAGAGTTCTCACTCAAGGCGCAAATGACCAGGCTTAAATGATCCTACTTCAGACACATGATGTGAAGACCCAACTCCCTGGAGAAGGCTCTAGTGCTGGGAAAGGTGGAAGGAAAAAGAAGAGGACAACCTGCTCCAAGGAGGAGGGATTCAGTTACAGTGGCAATGAGGGCAGTGTTGGAAGGTCTGAAAGACACAGTTGGGGGCAGAGCCTCCTGGAGAAAATCTATCTGTGTGGTCACAAAGAGTTGACGTGGACTTGGTGGCACACGATCAATCAATGAATACAAAGACCCAACTCTCCAGAGAAGGCTCCGGTGCTGGGAAAGGTGGAAGGAAAGAGAAGAAGAGGATGACCAGCTGCAAGGTGGATGGACTCAGTTACAGTGGTGATGGGGGCACCGTTGGAAGATCTGGAAGACCATGTTGGGGACAGGTTGTCATGGAGGAAATCTATGTGGCCATTAAGAGTCGACAACCACTTGATGGCACATAATCAATCAAGCATGCCTTTGAGGGTCCACGGTCATTCTCACGTGATTCAGGAGGCTGATATTGAGCTTTGGAGCATGTTATTTTCCTGTTCTTTTTAAAATTTATCTAAAACTCACAAAGCAGATGGTGTAGGAAGTTTTGTGCAGAAGGGCCATCGTTACCTTGCTATTCAAGGACATTGGGTTGCATATCTCTTTTCACCTTAACACACACAAACACATACATGTACACCCATTGGCTACATGTTCTCTCTTCATCCAGAATGCCTGATATGCATCTGGTGATGAAGCTTTAAGGAAGCGCAACCCGCAGTAAAAGGGTAAAAGAGTGGGAACTCTTGGAAAACACCGTGCAGCTTTGTGATACACCTTCTTCTGAAGTCTCTACTGGACTTTAGTTGTTGTAGTCCTGGTTCCTGGTGAATAAATAAGAAAAACGGTCTTGGGGCCTGGGGATTCACAGTTAGGGAAGGCTTTTCATATAGCTGTGGGTCTTCAGCATTGTGTTGTGAGATTCATATTTCCAGAACCCCAGTTTAATCTTACTGTTTGCAGGAAAGTAGCAAGAGAGTCTCTACTGAATCGCAGACTTCATTATTTATTTATTTATTTAATTCACACAGCGGTTTTTGTTAATTAGCCTCTCCAAAGAGAATGCAAACTTTAAAAGCAAGCTGCTAGCCCTTATGATAGTCAGTGAAAAACCAAACCATGGCCCTTCCTTTTGAAGTGATTACATAGAATCACCTTCCCACCAGGAGCCCAAAGGGATCTCCCTTCAGATTATTCCCGTGACAACAGTCCTATGAAGTGGGTCGATTTGAGGGAGAGTGACTGACTCCTAATCTTCCAGGGAATTCCCATGTCTGAGGGTAGATTTGAACCTGGGTCTCTCCAGTGCTATTCTGACCTCTTAACCTCTTTGAAGTAGGCTAGCTTAGAAAACAGGAGCTGCTAGAATATACTTTAATGCAATTGCAATACTGTAATAGGTCTTGAAACCCTGTCAAAGTTCTTTCTCTACTCCAACTTATACCTAACCGATCAAGCTGAAGTTGTTCTCTCACACTTTCTGTTTTCTTAGGACACAAGAATCTTTTCGGTAACTGCTTGGCGTTCCCCTCCTGTTTCTCTGGGTTCCCATCTTTGTACACAGGGAGTTTTGCAATAAGGTTGTCTAATACTTTGAGGGCCGGGTAACAAGAAGATCTATCTTCTGGCTGCCTAAGGAACATCACCTATTAACTACCTTCTATCAACAAGCTCAGTCAGGAATATGTGAACCAGCAAATATGTCACAGAACCTGCTGTGATGTTGTTGTTTTTTTAAAAAAAATTATTTGGTAAAGAATACATTTTTACATGCTGATAAATGTTAAATTCTCTCATGCCATAAAGTTGCTGGAAGCTGCTTTGTTTGATACGTGATACACAAATTGTTCTACGCGATTCTCAAAAGGAAGGCCCATGGTTTGGTTTTTCACTGGCTGTCATAAGGGCTAGCAGCTTGCTTTCAAAGTTTGCATTCTCTTTGGAGAGGCTCATTAATGAAAACCTCTGTGTGAATTAAACTGGGGGAGAAAGAGAGTGGGAACTCCAGTTCCTGTTGTTAGAAGGCCATGAGATGAATTATTGGGGTAGAATTAAAGGGAACTAGGGATAAGGTTTGTGAATTTTATTAACCTCCCCTACTTCTGTAATTTTAGCACTCTGCTAGTAAGCTATTTCCAAGGAGAATAATCCATTTTAAAGTGCAATGTCTTGGCTGAGGCATAAAAACCCTTTCTGAGGTACCTTTTTTATTATTATTATTGCTTGCAATTTTCAAAGACAGGAGGGTGCTTCTTTCTGTACATCACCTCAGCTCAGAGAGGAAGTCTTTGTTACATTTTACTCTTGCAAATTAGAAAACTGTTTCTGAGAGTGTGCAACCTTCAATTTTTTAAAAAAAAGAGACATGGGAAAATGAATAAGAAAAACATTCCACTTCTTCCCTTCTACCTGTTCAAAAAACGGAAAAGAGGAAATTGGTGCCTTCAAGTCAGTTTTGACTCCTGGTGAGTCAAAGCAGAATTATTATTTTTTTTATTATTATTATACCTGGAGAAAGACCTCGAGCCCAAAGGGGTGATTTAGAGATACCTGAACTTGATATCAATGTGTTACCAAAGCTTTTCAGCCGCTCTCAGGAAATGCAATGATGGGCTTTGCTTTTCTTACATGGCAAAACAGCTAAGTGTGGTGTAATGACTGGTCCAAAATATCAGAATCTGGGTTGCTATATCTGGGTTAAAGATCTCCAGATAACACAAACAGGGAGAATGATCTGCATCTCTCTGCTGGCCACCTGGGCTTTTGGAGCCCAGACTTGGTCACCCTAATGCAGTGTTTCTCAACCTTGTCAACTTTAAGATGTGTGGACTTCAACTCCCAGAATTCCCCAGCCAGCCTGGGTTGGAATCCCATATAATGTTGGTGATTGAGACACAGTGGCACAGCAGTTAAGTTGAGAGCAATGCTAGTTTCTGATTTTCCCTTTTATTTAAAGAAATGTGCATTTTCTAGCTGGGTTCAGTGAACATGCCTCTGCTGAATTAATCTCTTTTCTGGGCTTGCAGAAAACGTGGAACCAAGGACATTTAAGGCCCCCACGGTTAATCCTGACCAAATTTCTTATGTCAGTTTTCTTAGTTTCTACCTAAGAGACCAGGTTTACATGCAAGGTTAGTGATCCCTGGTAAGTTCCCTGGGAAAAATAGCTCCTAATGTTTAAATAGTGCTTGAAATCTCCTTGAGCTTATAGAAGGATCAGTGGAAGTGAGGTATGGAAACTGCCAAGATGATGGTTTTTTAACACTTACATGAAGCAGACTGTTGGCTTTTGAATTGGCAAGCAACAGCGCTTGGGTGAATTGCTTCATGAAGTTAGAAGGAGTTTTTTAAGAAGGGAATCTCAAGTTGTGGGGAAGGGGTGGGAACCCAGCAGATTGTAAAGGGGGAAACACACCATGGTTTAGGGTGATGAATGAGAATGAGGCCAAGTGATTGCAGTGGGGATGGAAGTCCGTTTGGGGAAGCATCTACTGCCTTCTGACCACTGCTGGCTTCCAGTTGGTTGAGAAGTCCAAGCTGAAAAGGCACGAAAGAAGGGAATTTGGGAAAAGGAAGATGAGAGATCAGTGCTTTAAGGTGGCTTTTTTGAGAGGCCATATATACCCTGTTTGGGTTGCCCTTGCTGTTCTTTGCTAGACCAGCTCTCAGATAGCTTTGTAAACCAGGAGAGATCACCTTTGGGTGGCCTGAGGGCTTCAGCCAGGTTTGCCCTGAGTATCAAGAGTGACCCTTCAGAATTGCGGGGGGGGGGGGGGGGGGGAGAATGCGATTCAGGGGTGTTATAGGATGAAATTGCTGTTTAATCTGGAAGTAGCTCCCGAGCTAAAGAAAGCTGGTTAATAGTAGTGTAGGTGAGGGGAAAAGAAGTACAGAGTTCTGATGATGTGATAAGTTTTTAAAAATGAATTTTAAATTAATTATAATGTATAAATGCAATAAAACATAATTTAAATTAATGGTTTAATTAAAGGAGGGATCTTGTTTTCTTAGCTTATTATTTTTTTCCTCAATAAGCCTTGAGGAGGTTGCTTGGCTTCAACCCATGTAAAGAGCAGCCTCTCATGTGCTTCCCAAAATATTAATTTAGCTCTGACTGACTGTCTAACCATGATTGCAAGGAGGAGGCAAGTTTGGTGTGTGCTTGTGTGTTCTGATTAGGTGAATTTCTAGTTCTGCTGGGGGAGTGGAAATGGGTGGGAAGGCTAATAAATCACCTTTTCCCTATAGGG